CCGGAGCCCAGCAGGTCAAGGCTACAGTGGCCAGGAGCGGCCACTGCACTCCAGTCTGGGAGACAGAGTGAGACTCCAACTCAAAAAAAAAAAAAGAAACTTAAGGTTGGCTGGGTGCGGTGGCTCACACCTGTAATCCCAGCACCCTGGGAGGCGGAGGTGAGAGAATTGCCTGAGCCCAGGGGTCCAAGACCAGCCTGGGCAACTTGGCGAGACCTCATCCCTACAAGAAATAAAAAAATAATAATTAAAGTTTAGGGTTAGCCAGGCGTGGTGGCGCATACCTGCGGTTCCAGCTACTTGGAAGACTGAGGTGGACTGATCACCTGAGCCCAGCAGGTTGAGGCTGCAGTAGCCGTGAGCGTGCCACTGCACTCCAGTCTAGGTGACAGAGTGAGACTCCTACTAAAAAAAAAAATGTTTAGAGAAATAGATGTTTGTGGGAAACACAAAGGAACTTTTAGTAAACTCCAGAAGAGACAAAGAAAACCCCAGATGAGAAAAGGGATGGGAAAAGTCTGAAGGTTTTTCTGAAATAGAGGGGGCTCCTTGTCACATTGCTCCTGCAGGCTGGTGGCACTGCAACCCTCTTTCAGCCAGGGACTGACATTAAGCAATGTTTGACACAGTGAAATCCAATGCCCATCCATAATCCTTATATTCTTTCTGGGTTTGGTATAATGGCTATTTCTACATAGTCTGGAGACGTCTTGGGACATCCATAAATGGGCCAAGACAGCTAGGGAAAAAAACACAAAAAACCAGCTGGGCAAGGTGGCTCATGCCTATAATCCCAGCACTTTGGGAGGCAGAGACAAGAGGACTGCCTGGGCCCAAGGGTTGGAGACCAGCCTGTGCAACTTAACCAGACCTTGTCTCTACAAAAGATCAAAAAATTAGCCACCTGTGGTGGCTTGCGCCTGTAGTTCCAGCTACTTGGAAGGCTGAAACGGAAGGATGCCTGAGCCCAGCAGGTCGAGGCCGCAGTGGCTGTGAGTGTGCCACTGCACTCCAGCCTGGGTGACAGAATGAGACTCTAACTCAAAAAAATAAGGAAAAACCCAAATCAAAGAGATTTCTGTTTCCCTAAGCTAAGTCTAGTCCAGTCTTGAGATTGCATTCATACCTCTCATCAACCAACAAGCCAACTTCATATGTACATGGAATACTAATGTGAGTATGCATCTATTTGCACACATGCTATGCACCACATATGGAGTCAGGTCATCAGTATTTATTTAGAACCTGCTCTGTGCTGGACACTGTTGCATTCTGGGACACAGCCATGAATAAGACAGATAGAGCCATGACCCACAGTGGTGAGCAAGACAGACCTAATTACGGAACGCAAGAATGGCGACGCCATAATGGGGAAGTGTAGTGTGCCACTGGGGACACATAGAGAAGTTGACGGAGCCTTCCTGTTTTATATGCACATATCCCAAACACAAAGGACTATCTTTGAAAAACAAGCAAATACTTTCCACTCACCCGCAGTAACAAGAAACAGAAGATGAGGCCCTGATCTTAAGGCACTTACAATCTCATTGGAAACAGAGGATATACACCAAATTGCCTTTTCAAAATCCCTGGTCTGATCTTGAATACAGCGATCATATCCACGCCAGCGTTTAACATCTTTTGGCCGTGAGCAGTCACCCACTCCTCTTCCTACCTTTCATGTCCATTTCACTGTATTCATCCTGGGAGAAGGAAACAAGGGTACCCGCCTTGAACATCTGTGAACTAGGAGGCTCTGCATCTTCCAGAGCATGCAAGAGAAAGATCACAGGGAGGTCAGTCAGTCATTTGCCATGACAAAAATAAAGGAGGATGTTTTAGAGACCTATAATTAAGTGTAGGACTTCTCATACGTGCTGTGATTCAATTTTATGCCAAGTTCTGTGCACACATGTTGTCACGAGGTTTATGGACAGCTTGACAAAGCAAGACAAATAAATTTAAAATTAAAATCACTGCACTCTAGTGCCAGGTAGAGGCTTGCACAGGGGTGCTGTGGGTACACTTAGAAAAAGGACACTTCATCTAGTTTGGAGGTCTGGGGGGCCTTCCTGGAGGAAGAGCATGTTGGAGTTGTATCTTGAGAGGTCAGGAAGAGTTAGCTGGGAAGACAAGAGCACCAAGGTTGTTCGAGAAAGAGAAAGTGGCAGGAGTCTAGCTAGGCATGAGAAGCAAAGAGAGAGAATTACTACTGTTGGAGCAGAGATCGCCTTAGGCAAGGGCGACCAAACCGTGGGAGGTCTTGGAAATAAAGGAAGAAGTTCAAAAACAAAGTAAGAAGAAGTTCAACTGTAAGTGGTTCAGGAGCTCAGGCCTGAAAAATGTCCATAGGGCTTGACAGCTAGAATGGGAGTGCTATGGGGGGGAGAGGACGGTGGCAGGGGGGTGAGGGAGGCCTCTGCATCCACAGCAGGGGTGAGGTGGGAATTAAGCCGTGGGTTAGGAGTGAAAGGGACACAAGCGAGTGAAGACGGAGTCTAGCAGCTGCTCCCAGAAGTTTGGTTATGGAAAAACACAAAACTGCAGGGATGCCAACGGTTCTTTGCAAAATGACACAACACAGGTTTGAACATGTTTAAATGCTGAGAGAAAAGAGTGGGAAGGAAAGAGGTAGCGGAGAGCAAGACCATGTGCAAGGGTGTCTCAGCCAAAGGAGTCATGCGGATCCAGAAACCAGAGCAGGGGCTTGACCTTGCTATGTCAGGAAGGAAGAGGAGGAGGGAGGGAGAGAGGTGGAAAGAAGGAAGGAAGGAGGGAGGGAGGAAGGTTGCAGATACAGGTAAGAAGGTAGGAATCAGAGCGATTTCCTGTCTGCAGTCTGTTTTCTTTAGAGTACGAAACAAAGCAATGTGCTGAGGTGACAGGTGGGTGACTTCCAATGACAGACTAGTAAAACCACATCTATAAGGAACGAGAGACTGCTGAGATGCATGCGTAGAGGTGGCCCAGCAATGCCCCGACTCCGCAGGGGTTGGGTCCATGAGGTGGTGGTATACCAGCGGGCCCAGTTATGAGAGGTTCTCCAGCACCTCGCAGCTCTCCAAGGGAAGAGTGGAGACAAAGATTGGAGTCAGCTGACCAAGAGCTAAAGCGAGACAAAAGAGCAAGGGGGAGGGAGGTGCAGTATGGGCTGTATTTTTCAGCCTGAATAGGGAATGGATAGAGCCAGTCTGGTAGATTTCTTTTTCTTTTTGAGTAGGAGTCTCCCCCTGTCACCCAGGCTGGAGTGCTGTGGCACGTTCACAGCCACTGCCGCCTCACCCTGCTGGGCTCAGGTGATCCTTCTACCTCAGCCTTCCTAGTAGCTGGAACTACAGGTGTGGGCCACCATGCCCTGCTAATTTTTTTGATTTATTGTAGAGACAAGGTCTTGCCAAGTTGCCCGGGCTGGTCTTGAACCCCTGTGCTCAGGCAATCCTCTCACCTCTGCCTCCCAAAGTGCTGGGGTTATAGGCGTGAGCCACCAGGTCTGGCAATTCTGGTAGACTAGGGAAGTTCGAGGACCTGAGGTCTGATCAGGTATAGTGGGAAAAAGGAATGCTAACTAGATAGAACATTGCATCAGAATGGTTGGAAAATAGTCTTTTCTAACAGCTAAGTTCTCAGAATGTGTTGAGGTCCAAGGCTAACCTCCCAAGCTTCCAAGTCCTCTGGTGTGATTCTATAGAATAGAACTTGAATGTCTGTAACATAGTGATGACTATATATAGTATATATATGTGTATATATACATACATATACATACATATATATACACACATATATGATATATGATGGGGGAACCAAAAAACCTGGAATTTATTCATTAAAAAATTATGTATTTATTCTTACACGTTTAAACTTCACTTACTGTCAAAGTACTCTCTGTTTGATGCAGGACACTTATCAAGACACTTTCCACTGCTCAAACTTTTTTAGGCTTATCAATTTTGTGCTTTTAGTGTTTCTGCCGTTTTATGTTTCACCTCTTTCACATCCGCAAAACATTTCCCTTGGAGGACCTTTTTCATCCAGGGGAACAAAAAAAGTCACGGGGGGTGACGTCGGGTGAAGAGGGAGGATGGGACATGGCAGTCACGCCATCTTTGATCAGAAACGACTGAACACTCAGCACGGTGTGCTTGTAAATCATCCTTCATGAAATGGGCAAGTGTTGCCTAGTGTGGTGGCT